GTACTATATAGTTTTTTTATTTTTTACATACGCACAATGGCTCAAGTGAGAGGGTAAGCGCGGAAAATAGAGTCTTTTTCACATTTCACATTAGTTTTTTATTAAGTATATTAGTAATGTTTCCCATATTTTTAGCGTCCTCTAAGGAAATTCTAAATTTGACAGTGCTATTTAAATTCTTGATTTGAAGCTGATTTTCATAAGACTTATAATAATCCAAAGGATTTCCTTACGTATGATGATCTATGAAATAATCATTCACAAATTTTTTTGCGACTAAATTCGATTTTCTAAAGAACAAAATTTTGAATTGAAATTACTGTAAGCCCATGAGTATTTTTATTTATTTATTTATTCATTAGTACAAATATGTGTACATGGCGGACTTAATGCTAAAAGCATTCTCTCCCAGTCAACCATTTTTATGTGCAATACATCTTTTATTATTATTATTATATGATGATAAGGTACCAAGAGGTATCAACAAACAAACACACTTTCGTAATTTTATATTAGTAAGAATAAATGTGAGTCTGAGGCCAAAGCGACATCTATTTTAAATTTCGATTAAGATAATTTTTGGGTAAGAGAAATACCATTGAAACTCGATTAGTTGTGTTGATTGACGTTGAAATGTATCTAGGTATCTATCTTTAATTTTATAGTACATAGACATATAAATTTATTTAAAAAATTTCGCAACAAATTATTTTTTTAATAAGAATATTACTATATATGATAGTTATAATTTTAAAATAATAACAAATAATTGTATGTACTTGTTTTTGTGCCATCTATCTTGTTTATATTGGATATAAAATGGTAAAATATCTGTTTGTTAAACGAATTCAAGTTTCCACTATTTAGGTATCATAGAACCAAATACCTACCTACAGTACTAATTTCAAAACATGGAGCCCACCTTACACGAATAATAATAGGATTTACTTTGCATAACACGCCGTGCTGAATAGATTTATATCAACAGACTTCGACAGATCATGCAAAGCAAATGTTACTAAAATATTCAAAGAATCCTTAGAGCATTATCAAACATAACTCTGTGTAAATAAAATCGTAGCTGTGCGAGTTATTTTTTGTTGTATTTGATAATGTTATCATTTAAATGCTTCCTTTTTCGATTACATAGATAATATGTAACTGGTGAGTAATATTGTAGAAAAAATCTGAGATTGAAAACGACAAGCACTCTTTGGTTGGAGCAAAATAAACATAGTCGATTGAGAACATAAATAAAAAATCAAACCGAAGTACGTATTTTTTTTATGGGTGAAAATGGTATGGTAACCCCGCCTGCGCTAACGGGATACGCTGGCGGAGCACCAGTGAAGGGTGATAGATGAGAATGAAAACAGGTCAGTTAGCCCATCATGATGAATTCATTGGGAATTAACTATGATAGTTTCCAGGGAGAACCGCGAGGAGGTCGACCTGGTTGGGTATATTGCTAGCAATGGGATTCTCAGTCTCCATTACTAACAATCCCTTTCCCCCCCGAAGTACGTATTATTGATAACGTACATAGATTTAAAGACAGTAGCGCATTCTTTTTCTACCATTGACAATAAATAAATATCAAATAATGTTATGGTAAAATGGTATAATACCATTATAGATTAAGAATAGTAACTAAGGTGCTTATTATTTAAAATATAATACTTGTAAGTGTATAAGCAGTGCCGGCCCTGGGGTAGAGCAAAAGGAGCGTCAAAAGACAATCTGCTCTTCCCTGATCTAGAGCTAAGGCCGATGCTGTGTATACGTATTAGGTTTTTTTTAATGGGTGATAATGGTATGGTAACCCCACCTGCGCTATCGGTATATACTAGCGGGGTACCAGTGAGAGATGAGACATGAGGATGAAAGCCGGTCAGTTAGCTCATCCTGAGGAATTCAACATGAATTAAACACGATGGTTTCCAGGGGGAACCACGTGGAGGTCGACCTAATAAGGCATATTGCTAGCAATAGGGCTATTTGACCATATCACTAACAATCCCTTTTTTTTATGGGTGAAAATGGTATGGTAACCCCGCCTGCGCTAACGGTATACCCTTACAGAGCACCAGTGAAGGGTGGTAGATGAGAATGAAAACAGGCCAGTTAGCCCATCATGATGAATTCATCAGGAATTAACCATGATAGTTTCCAGGGAGAACCGCGAGGAGGTCGACCTGGTTAGGTATATTGCTAGCAATGGGATTCTCAGTCTCCATTATTAACAATCCCTTTCCCCGTGTGTTAAGTATTATCAGGTACAATAGAATAATAAATAGATACTATTCATAGTTGTCATACCACTAGTGGTAATCATACCGCGCGTGTACATAGATTAAATTGACTGATAAGAAAGTGACGATAAGAAAATTATGTCATGTGAATCGTGTGTCAACTTTCATAGCATACACAGTTATTAATGTTCAATTTCTTTTTATTTTAAAATTGGAATACAAATTTTAGACTATTATCTGCGTAAACACATCACTCTACAAAAATAAACAATTTTTAATAGATACGTTCTATAGCCATACGGAAAAACGCTTTAGCCATTCTATAACTTATAAGTACAAGACATGTAGATTTTTTTTTATGGGTGATAATGAAATAGTAACCCCACCTGCGCTATCGGTATACACTGGCAGGGCACTAGTGAAGGATGATAGGTGAGGATGAAGCAGGTCAATTAGCCCATCGTGACGAATTTAACAAGAATTGTTCACGATGGCTTCCAGGGGGAACCACGTGGAGCTCGACCTGATAGGGCATATTGCTAGTAATGGGGCTGTCAAACTCCATTATTAACAATCCCTTTCCCCCAAACATGCAGATTTGAAACTATGATGAGTAGAGATAAGGAAAACCATTTCTGTTTATGAAAAAATGTCCGTCAAAGGGCGTTAATTTTTTTTTATGGATGATAATGGTATGGTAATATTGTCCACGCTAACGGGATACGTTGGACATGCACCAGAGAAAGATGATAGGTGAGAATAAAAAGGCAGGTCAGTTAGCCCATCGTGATGAATACACCTGGTATTTGGCACGATGGTTTCCAGGCTAGCAATGGGACTGGTAGTTCACATTACTAAAAATTCCTTCACCGCGGGGCGTTAAATTAGGCGCTAAAGTAGCACGGGAGTAATTTTTAAAGTAAGTAAACACTTTTCAAAAGAATAATTTAAAATAGGAAAAGAACGATATAAAGTATAATTAATATTATGTCAAATGTTATTGTTAAACGTTTACTTTCGCATTAAATAGTAAATAAAGATATTAGATTTTTTATCTAAGCGCACTTCACTGCATCAACAACAGTTAAATTCATTTTATATTATCTCTAGTGTTATTCTATTCTCCTTACCTCTTACATTTCCTCCATAGATGAAACAATATTGTATAAAACTTGGAAAAAAAATTACAAACAAAATAAAAAAAAATATAGATTGTGTGTGTGACAGATGATGTCCCGGATCGTTAGTAATGCGGGCTACCCGTCCCATTGCTAGCAATATACCCTGTCAGGTCGACCTCCACGCGGTTCCCCCTGGAAACCATCGTGCTGAGTTCCAGGTGTATTCATCACAATGGGCTGACTGACCTGATTTTTTCATTATTCACCTATCATCCCTCACTGGTGCCCCGCCAGCGTATATCGTTAGAGCGGGCGAGGTTACCATTCCATTAATCATGCATTAAAAAAAAAAGATGATATCCCTATACTGGATTCCCTTTCCTTAGTGTGGATAAATTGGTTACATAACAAAATTTTGTACAACACGATAGATAAACACTATTTCTTAAAAATATTGAGAAAAACTTTTGCAAGTGACCACCCTGTAACGCCAAAAACGCAGTGTAGGCCGACTCCCCATATATATAGAAAGATTCATTCGTCCCATCACTTATCAGTCAGTACTGATAAGTGATAGGCCCAATAAATTTATTTTATAAAAGCCTATTATTATGTTCATCAGTGTCAATTTCAAATCTTATCATAATCTCAGCATTATACAAACAACAGATACAAGTACACAGCGTTCCAACTGAAATATAAAAACATGATTTTGTTTTCACACGGCGACGTTCAACATGCGACGTTCAACACAAGTTGTGAAATACACTTATAATAGTAAATAATTTTTATGACTATACCATTGTGATAATGATGCCTATTCATTTGGTTTAGTATAATGACACGTATCCATTAGTTAATCGATTATTAATGATTGTTTCTAACAAAAATTTTTTGCTATTTCTCTATTATAATTATTAATATCAAAAATTTAAATTATTATTTTATTTATTTACTTAATATGATTTTGTGCATGTTTATATTTAGGTACTGTATAAAACATAACATATATGGTGCAAAAATTATATGAGTAATAATAAATTATTTGTAGCTATATAATTAGTAACAAAATATAGATAAATAAATATAAAATTAATTCGCTTATTTTTTCTTTTATCTGTTCCTTAGTAACGTCACCAATTCGGGCTGATTTAGACTATCTTTATGCATTCGGTGTATTTACTTCTTGTTGATATCATATTAATTTTGCGACAATTGAAGTTGCCGTTTTTCTTTCCGAAGCAAAATACTATTTACATGTTGCCTTTAATTGAACGTAATGAAAAAAATCGTAAACGGATTAGATCACAATAGTATTGTGTTTGTGTATGTCTCTATTCCGCAGTTTCGCTAACTTGTTCCCGTTCAGAAGCGCACACAGATGTTGTATCTCGTATTACTTAATAGATATCCGAATTAATTAGCGTCGGCAATCAGAATGACCTCGCATTGCCGTACGCACGGTGCGCTGCTCTCTTCCTCAAATCATTCGGCGGTAAAACATTAGCATAACATTATCGATATGTACCGTCACCGTCACCGTCACCCCACTCCACGGCGAGCCGTGATGCGGTCATTACTACATCTCAGTACTCCACCGCGGCACATAACATGCATTGACACTCACCGAGTCCTCATGTTGATACAGTAGACCTTCAGTCATTTTCTAAAATATGATAAAATCGCCGCTCTTCGTTCGGCGATGGCTGACATCTGTAACAAGAGGCCGCCGAGGTCACATGAGGCGCACATATAGATACCGACCCGTCATGGCGTGCGTCGACGTTAAACAACCTCATTAGATGATAGGTGCTCACTTGTGCTGCGTTGATTGTGGGCGAAAATGCATGAAGGCAGTTCTCGGTATCCGTGCGGGAAGTCAAACTCGCGGCATGTCTGACAAGGAGGCACCGGCAAGGTTTGTTTATCACTGAATGGTACGAGGCGGCGGGAGTGGCGGCGGAGCGGCGGCGCGCGCGATGGTGACGTGCACGCGCGTCGCCCGGCGCCCGACGCCCGCAGCCCGCGGTCAGCGCCGCCGCGCCCACGCCGCTCGCTGCCCCGCGGCCCGCGGCCCGTGGCTCAGCTGACGCGTTCGCACCGTGGGTGCTGTGCTACGTACCGTTTTACATATTCATCCGATACCTTGATTTACATATATATAGGTATTATCAAAGGTTTAAGGTTAAACATTATTCTAATTATAACTAGAAACATAAATCACTAGTCTTGAACTTTCAAGTCCCATGTTAAAATTATGATTTCTATGTAAAATACAACATAGAATTGCAAATTGTCGTTGTTTATTATTATTGCAGCTACTAAATAATCAGGCGCTTATTTTCATTATTCAATTAAAATTATATTTATTTAACATAACTTTTATACATTTGTTATGAATAATAAATACCTAAATATACAATTTATATTCAAGTTAACTTAATTTTTTAATAATACAGTTTTATCATCTACCGCCCAGTTCGGAACGCAATTTTAGTTACAAATAACACTTAAAGAAATGTTTGCAAACAAAAGTTGAGTTTACAAAGAAATATAAATGGATACACACAAACTTCATATTGATAAAAACTACAAACATTCATAGTATTCTTATACGAACCTGTCCCTACAAAAAGCACCCGTTCACGAGTATGACGGATGGGCCCGTCACGTCGCCTCCAATCTGAACATTATAATGAGCATAACTTGTTTGAGATATACGACTATGTAAAAAATACCGATATCAAATTAAATATGATAATCAATAAATTTATGTAAATTTCTAAAGAATTACTAAATATTAAAATAAAAAAAAATTTACTACTAATATCAGCAACTACGTTAAACGGAATTTAACTAATTCATAATGTTTGTTCTGTGTGACATTTATTTCAGCTTTATTCGAAGTTTTTCTTACACTAGGTGCGTAAGGTGTTCATCATATTGTGTACGTCGCAGCGTCATAACCAGAAGTAGTGGTAGTGACATCCAGAATTCGTAAATTTCGTAAATATATATATATATATATATATATATATATATATATATATATATATATATATATATATATATATATATATATATATATGGATAGATATTTTGTGAAATAAATGTTCAAAATAGTAAAGTATTTTGAATCTCCCATACTAATTTAACAGCTGCATGCATGAGTATGGCTGACACATAGAACCTTATTGTGGCATACCTCGAAGCAGAAAGTTTAAACACCTCAAACTCGAAAGCTTAGAAATGGTAAATAATAACTGGCTCTTGTTACCAGGATTATATCACCCAAAGTCCTGAATAAAGGGTTTTCAGAAAATTATTATAAAAAATTAATTCTTTCGAGTAAAAACAATGTGTGTTCTCACTGGGCATTGCAAACTAAACAAGCATATGACCCAACTAGGCTTATGCCCATAAAGTATTTTAAGAATTTGTCACAATGAGGAAGAAACGCCGCAGCACTTAATTTGTGACTGTATCCCACTCATACATAAACGATATATCTCCTTTGAAAAATACACTTTATATCGTAAGGAGATAAAAACATTGCTACAAAAATCATTTTAAAATTCCTATAATTGATAGGAATTAGCAGCGAACTTTAAGAAAAGACGAGCACAAAAGAACATGGAAAGGTCACAGTGTCACAGGTTTTTCAGCCTGGAAAGCCCGTCTTGTTATTGAAAATATTATATTATATTATTATTGAATTGATTTTTTCGTTTAATATCCATGATTTGTTTAACTACACTCCTCGCAAAAATTAAGGGAACATAAAAATTTTTGAAATTTTTGGGTGATTTTCAACAGGCTGTATTTCAGTGAAAAATAATCGTACAGGAAATTTAAAAAAAGGGTTTTGAAGATTGAAAACTCTAGTTTTCAGATTTTTTGGTGAAAAAATTTTTTGAGCTCCGGTTTCCATGCAATTCTTAAACAAAGCTGAAAATAAATTTTTTCTAAATTTTCTAGGTTTCGTTTTTTACTCTATGGGCATGGAAAAATTTTTTCGAGCTACTCCATTGTATAGGTCTCTTAGCGTGTTTATTCAGCTTCAAAAATCGCTTTGGATGGCTAAATTACGACCATTTGTCTCCGAGATATCGAACTTTGAATGCAAAAGCATCCTTTTCCATTCAACTGCTAATATCTCTGGAACTACTGGTCGCACAGCAAGCGGGCGCCAAATTTCTTTATCTGAATAAAATTTCCAATTAAGCACAGTCAAGAGTTAGTAAAGAAAAAATTTTTTTCCACCTCTAACATTGAATTGAAAAAAGTGGAAAAAAGTGACTTTTTCTCTTTTTTGGTTACTTGGCTGTATCTTCGCTAATATGGGCGGGAAAGCTAAGGTTTGAGGAAAATTTTACAGTCTATTGTTCCTTAAAGAACCCCTTAAATCCCTGGAGCGATCAGTTCAACGGTTTTTCCCGGACCAATTGATTGAAATTTTGGAAAAAATAAGGGAACAAGGTTTTTGTCCCTTAAACTCACCCTAATCCATTCAAAAATCAATAATTTCATTTGTTTTTCACTTTTTACTCAATTTTTTGTTTGTTAAAAATTCATTATCAAAAAAAATCGAAAAAAATCAAGAAAATTTTATGCAGATAAAGAAACTCGGCGCCCGCTTGCTGTGCGACCAGTAGTTCCAGAGATATTAGCAGTTGAATGGAAAAGGATGCTTTTGCATTCAAAGTTCGATATCTCGGAGACAAATGGTCGTAATTGAGCCATCCAAAGCTCTCTCCATAGGTCTCTTAGCGTGTTTATTCAGCTTCAAAAATCGCTTTGGATGGCTCAATTACGACCATTTGTCTCCGAGATATCGAACTTTGAATGCAAAAGCATCCTTTTCCATTCAACTGCTAATATCTCTGGAACTACTGGTCGCACAGCAAGCGGGCGCCAAGTTTCTTTATCTGCATAAAATTTCCAATTAAACACAGTCAAGAGTTAGTAAAGAAAAATTTTTTTTCCACCTCTAACATTGAACTGAAAAAAGTGGAAAAAAGTGACTTTTTCTCCTTTTTTGGTTACTTGGCTGTATCTTCGCTAATATGGGCGGGAAAGCTAAGGTTTGAGGAAAATTTTACAGTCTATTGTTCCTTAAAGAACCCCTAAATCCCTGGAGCGATCGGTTCAACGGTTTTTCCCGGACCAATTGATTGAAATTTTGGAAAAAATAAGGGAACAAGGTTTTTGTCCCTTAAACTCACCCTAATCCATTCAAAAATCAATAATTTCATTTGTTTTTCACATTTTACTCAATTTTTTGTTTTTTAAAAATTCATTATCAAAAAAAAATCGAAAAAAATCAAGAAAATTTTTAAGAAAAATTTTTTTTTGAAAAGTCGAAAAAAGTTTACAAAAAATTTTTTTTTCGTTTTTAAGGAAATCAAAGTTTTTGACAAAAACTTTGATTGATGATCGATTTACCGCCGGCATTAGCGTTACCCAAAGCATACCACGGGGAGGTTGCACGGTCGGATTTACGCTTCTTTTGTGCTTACGCACGTGTTTATGATATGGGATTCTTCAGAAAAAATGAGACCCTGTGGTTCGTCAGTTCCGCAGTATTTCGTGACTCCAAACTCATTTTCTGAAGAGTGTGTGTGTTAGTGTTGTGTAAGTAATTTTTAGAAGAAATGAGACCCCGTGGTTCGTCAGCTCCGCAGTATTTAATGACTTCAAACTCATTTTCTAAAGTGTGTGTGTGTGTGTTTCTCCACGTGGTATGCTTTGGGTAACGCTAATGCCGGCGGTAAATCGATCATCAATCAAAGTTTTTGTCAAAAACTTTGATTTCCTTAAAAACGAAAAAAAAATTTTTTGTAAACTTTTTTCGACTTTTCAAAAAAAATTTTTCTTAAAAATTTTCTTGATTTTTTTCGATTTTTTTTTGATAATGAATTTTTAAAAAACAAAAAATTGAGTAAAATGTGAAAAACAAATGAAATTATTGATTTTTGAATGGATTAGGGTGAGTTTAAGGGACAAAAACCTTGTTCCCTTATTTTTTCCAAAATTTCAATCAATTGGTCCAGGAAAAACCGTTGAACCGATCGCTCCAGGGATTTAGGGGTTCTTTAAGGAACAATAGACTGTAAAATTTTCCTCAAACCTTAGCTTTCCCGCCCATATTAGCGAAGATACAGCCAAGTAACCAAAAAAGGAGAAAAAGTCACTTTTTTCCACTTTTTTCAATTCAATGTTAGAGGTGGAAAAAAATTTTTTCTTCACTAACTCTTGACTGTGTTTAATTGGAAATTTTATGCAGATAAAGAAACTTGGCGCCCGCTTGCTGTGCGACCAGTAGTTCCAGAGATATTAGCAGTTGAATGGAAAAGGATGCTTTTGCATTCAAAGTTCGATATCTCGGAGACAAATGGTCGTAATTGAGCCATCCAAAGCTATTTTTGAAGCTGAATAAACACGCTAAGAGACCTATACAATGGAGTAGCTCGAAAAAATTTTTCCATGCCCATAGAGTGAAAAACGAAACCTAGAAAATTTAGAAAAAAATTATTTTCAGCTTTGTTTAAGAATTGCATGGAAACCGGAGCTCAAAAAATTTTTTCACCAAAAAATCTGAAAACTGGAGTTTTCAAGCTTCAAAACCCTTTTTTTAAATTTCCTGTACGATTATTTTTCACTGAAATACAGCCTGTTGAAAATCACCCAAAAATTTAAAAATTTTTTATGTTCCCTTAATTTTTGCGAGGAGTGTAAAATATTCATTTTTATTACTAAAATTGTTTTTAAAATAAGATATAATATCAACGGCACCTACAGTCTAGACAGTTTAGATTATAAAGTGTAACTATGTTATACTAAGTCTATGAGACAGAGCAATGCTCTCTAAAAATTTCCAAATTGTTATGTACCTAATGATTCAAGTCAACAAAGACATTGAAGCATTGGTCGTTCTTTACATTGTAATGGTATCCAGTCGTTATCGAAATGCTAACAAGAAATTATGTCGAATGTTGATAATCG